GAGTCAGGGTCCTGCTGTGTAGCTCCAGCTGGCCTAGAACTCACTGTGTAGCCCAGGCTGGCTTTGTACTTGTGGTGATCCGACATGCCTGGCCATCAGAAAGTTTTAAATAAAGGATTAGGGACATACAATTAACATTTTGCCTGCATTAGTGTCTGTAACATAGTAGGTACTATGTTATGTTAGATTCTGGGGAAGCTGTTGAAAAAAACCAAAACAAAAATCCATCTTAAAGGTGCTCACATTTTTGTGGAAAAGACATTGTTATGAATAGGTTGAGGTCTAGACAGAGGTGAGTGATCCAGGGTGAACTGACTTTCAGGGCTTTCCACTGTTGGCACAGGAGACCTCTGAAGATAGAGGCTTCAAGTGCAGCATGAGTAGGGTGAAGAGGAGTTTGTTTGAGCTGGCCTGAGGAGATGAGATGCAGGTCGGGGTGAGAAGGACAACCAGACACTGATGAAAGTGAGCGTGCTGTGCCAACCAAGGAACTGCAAGTTGCCCCCGTGTGGCTGGCTCCCAGGGATGCAAAAGGCAGGGCTGGAGTGGACCACAGTGGGGAATTGCCTGCCCCTCCGGCAGCCCTGGGGCATCTGCGCAGAGCAGGGCAGCAGGGGCTGGTCCTCAGCTCTCTCCTGCAGGTCTCTCTGGAGGCTGTGGAATACAGAAAGGGTAACTGAGGAGGATGGGAAACAGACATGTACCAGGTACCCATCAAGGTGAGGGCAGACGAGTGCTGGATGGGGGTGTGTGCAGGCAGGAATTGAAGGGAGGTCTTCATTACAGACATTGATACAAGGAGATGTTAATTGTATGTCCCTAATCCTTTATATAAAACTTTCTGATGGCCAGGCATGTGGGATCACCACAAGTTCAAAGCCTGCCTGGGCTACATAGTGAGTTCCAGGCCTCTGACACGGTAGCATTTCATACACTTTAGAGCCCATGTGCAGGGTGCTCTTGAGCTTTATGATGTGTACTTTAAAGGTGTTGAAAAACTTCAGCATGTGAAGGAGAGGTTTACACAGGCAGCCCGTGTTCCTCGTAGGGTTATTGGGTTGGTAAAGATAGGAGAGTCCTAGAGAAGAGAAAACTTTCACTTAGACATATGTCCAGAGAAAAACTATTGTGTGGATTTTGTGTAGATCAGTCACATGTGCCTGAAGCTGTGGGGGAGTAGGTGATGAATAATTTCTCTGACTTCTTTCCCAGCCCTTTTGAGTCAGCAGCCACCCTACCGGGAGGGTGAGGCCAGGCTGGCTGTTCCTTCCTTGGTCGCACACATGCTCTTCTTCTCCTGCAATTTTTTTTTTTTTTTTTTTTTTTTCCAATACCGGGGATTGAACTCAGGATCCTGTACTTGCCAGGCAAGCGCTTATTCTACTGAGCTAACTCCCCACCCCTTCCCCTGCACTTCTGTATCCTTGGTTGTTTGTGCCACTCGTTGGCACTTGAAGCGCTCTCTGCCCAGTTGTTTTCCTGAGTCTGTGCTGTCCCTGCTGCCTCATGACTTGGCGGCTGCTCTCTGGGGCTGCCTGTGGAGCCCTCACAGTGTGCTTTTTTGCCAGGCTCCACAGACTGTCACGTTCAGTCACAAATGAGGAACCGTTGTTAGGCACTTTCTACTTTAACAGAAGCACCATTCCACCTGGCCTCGCCTCCCACCCTGCCGCTGTCCTCATCCATTACTCCCAGGAGGCGCCTCTGTCTCTCCACTGCTAGGAATCCTGCTTGATCCCCCATACCTTCCTTCTGTCTGGAACACATGCCTTCCTGCTGTCCTTTCTTTCCCTGACTTCCATCTGCTTCCCAAATTGCTGATCTCTGTCTACCCAAGCTCTGGGTTCTGAAGACTTCTTAAGCCTCTGTTGCAGTTTTTATAAATGGTATCTAATACTCCAGTACTGCCTGGCTGAACACAAAAAAAGATGATGGTGAGTAAGCCAGGTGCGTCTTTCTCTGAGCCCCGCGTAGGTGCCGTTCCTGCCTGCCCATCCCGCTGCCCCACTCAGCTGCTACTTTATAATTTTCTCGTATTCCTTCATCCTCACCCTGCTCCTTGTCATTGAGCACTGCATCTTTTTCATTTCTCTGTGCCTATGGCCAAGCATCATTTGTGATACATAGAGTTTAAGGATCAAGTAAGTAGGAGACAAGTGTAAGAAAGCAAGAAGTTACTAAGTGAAAATTTCTATTTTTCTACCTCAAGATGTAAGTCGTGGGATGAAAAAAGTTTTCAGGTTTTTTTTGACAAGGTTTCCATTATCAAACAAAAAGGGAAGGGGCTTGTTTTGATCTTCTAGAGTCTGATTTCTTTGAAAAACAAGAGCATGTCTTATGTGGTGATCAAGGCCAGCATTCCTGTGGCGTTCCACATGAAGTAGGCACTGGGAACTGGCCTGAGGGAAACAGTTGCTTTCCTTGACCGGAGGGCGCTCTGAGTGCGGCTGCAGTATGCCCCAGGTTTCCTGGACTTTGGAGGAGTATAGCGAAAATCAGACAGAAGTGAACCACTTGGCAAAAGAGAGTCATGACTAAATCCCAGGCATAATCAAATGGTCTTTGTTTTTTAAACTAGATTCCTTTTACAAATATGAGGACATTTAATAAGATTAAGACATGGGAAACAGAAATAAGAAAAATATTTAGATTTGTATCATGTATTATTGTTGAGTGTCATCAGATTTGTTTTAAATCTTTAACTCTGCTTTAAATTCTTTTGCCTTTATAGAAATATCCATGTTTTTATTGCTGTTGACATTCATGTTACCCTTCCCTTAATTATCAGGCAGATTACTTCAAATAGACAACTATTGCCCTGGATTTTTAGAAGGATTTTTTTTTTTGGCTGGCTCAGGATGCCTTCAGGGCATGGTTAGTAAGGTTTAGAGGATCTGGGGATCAAACCACAGTAACCTGAGCTTGACTGCTCTGTTTAAGCAGTCACTAAACAACTGAGCTAATGGGCAGGCCCCTGTATCCTGGATTTTTAAAGAATTAAAAATGTATACTCAGAAATTCAGAGATGGTGAAAGGCACATATTTTACTGTTACCTATCAATTCATTTAGCCCCAAGAAAAGGTGGGAGTTCTCCTTTCAGGTTCACATCCAGTTGTAATTTATGTGGCATTTCTTAGTATTGAAAATAATTAAAATATTTGTTTGAATGCTTTCAGGGACCCTTACAAGAAAAGTAGGTAAGGCCTCTGAAATGCGATGTTCTCAGTTTTCTTCTGTGAGCAGTGGTTTATTTATTTTTTAATGTATTTTGTACAGGGTCTTACTACGCAGCTCAGACTATAGTGATCCTCCGGTTTTCAGCCTCCCCAGCGCTGTGATAACAGGCGTGTACCACAATGCCTGGTCTCAGAGACCAGCTCAGTGTCTGGGGAGTGCGGCCGGCATGACGTGTGGTGCCAGGGATCAGACCCTGGTCTCTGCGGTCCCTGCGCTTGCCTAAGTAGGTGCTTAGTCCACTGAGCTATCTCACTGACCCTTAAGCAGTTTACAGGGCCAGTATATATATCCAGTATAAGTTGTTTATATCCAGTATAAGTTGTTTCATTTTTCAGAAAAGGTTTTAATCCATTGACTGATACACATTGCAAGTGCAGTTATGCAATAGACAGATGAATTAGTTATAATTAAGAGTATCAAGTAGGATTTAAAAAATACAATTTAGATGGCTTTCCATTTTTAAAATAAACTTTAGTTGAAATTTGTGAAGTTAAAAAAATCTGTAGTATTTCTTGAACACATGCTCCTTATATCTAGTCTTTTGCATAAGTGGTTTGTATTTATGTGGAATTTTTGAGAATACATTCTCACTGTTAAGTAATTTCTATGGTAAATGAAAAGGAGATTGAAGCATTCAGGTGGCTTGTAAGAACTAGAAGAACTTATTTATAACTTCTCACATACCGTCCTTCTGTCCTCAGTAACAGCTTCTTATGTACTTAGAAGCAGACAAAAGCTACATGTGGAGGCAGGAAAAGGAAAGTCTATCCACTGGCGGTGTTGCCGGGGTCTTTGATGAGAGAGAAGGAATTAGATATTGAATTTGGTGGCTCCTCTCTGAAAGGGGAAGACAGTTTTCTAATTCCAAATGAAGAAGTTATAAATTTCTGTATTTGTGGAATTTCTTTCTCTGTTTGTGGAATTTTGCTGGAGAAGTTTACAAACCATTGGACATTGTGCTGGGGCAGGGGCTTACAGTGCCCGCTTTCATATTTGCCTTGCGGTAAGAGATGCTTCCTGCCCAACTCATCCTTTTTACTGTCCTCTGCTTTCCCAGTGGCTGTCCTTCCTTCATTTTATTTTGTGCTTTTCATTTGAGAATAACTAATAAAACCATCAAACAGACAATGCCTGGAGACGGAAGTGCTCCCCTGCATGTAGAATAGGTGACCCGGTACTGCTTGCCCTGCTGGTGGGGTGTGCTGAGCCGCTTAGCAGGATCCTGTACCAAACACATTTAAAAAAAAAATGGAGGGACATTAATTAATTAGTGCATTAATTAATATACATCTCATTAGGACAGATTTATTGTTAAATGATTTTTTGTGATGTTCTTTATTTTTTCTGGGTCTAGTTTGAACAAACTATTTCTATTAATGGTCAGAAATACATTTCATATATATATACATATATATATATATTTATTTATATATACTCACATATTTCCTTTTATACTGTGTTTTTCTCCCTGGGTCTTGTTGGGAATTGCCTGTTTGTTTGTATACACTGGTATAGCATTTTATTAATAATTATGATTACACCAGCTGTTTTCACATACTTTCTTCCAATCATTTTCCATCCAGCTCCTCGAAGGGTATGTATTATTTTGTTCTCTACTTGTTTTAGGACATACTGTAGTTTTCAGACTTTCCTTGAGGTATGAGGAGGTACCTTTTCCTGTCATAATCTGTGAAACCATCAGTAAAACCCAGGGAATGTTGGCCCTCTTGCTAATGCAGCACAACTCCTGTCCTGGGTGCAGGTATAGTGGAGGATTACAAGCCACCGTTTTACGATGTTGTTCCCAATGACCCAAGTTTTGAAGATATGAGGAAAGTAGTCTGTGTGGATCAACAGAGGCCCAACATCCCCAACAGATGGTTCTCAGACCCGGTAAGCGTGCCCGTGTTCTGCCTTGAGAGCCTCTGACAGCTGTTTTCTATCTGCTTGGTCCTGAGTGTCAGTGGGGGTGTCAGTGTTTGCATGAACTGTACTGTCCAGCCACTGCTCTGCATCATTGTTTTTTGGTACTGGGGATCAAACTCAAGACCTTGGGCTTGCCAGGCAGGCGTTTCTACAACTGTGCTATCTTGCCAGCCTCCATCATTGTTTTATGTGGAAGTGTCTTGGAGCTTACTAGCATAGATTTGGAAAACAGCCTCATTGTTGAACAGGTCTCTGCTAGGTTGTGCTAATGAGTGACAGAGTTCACAAGAATTTCTGTGATTGACCAGCTCCAAGAATTAGGAGACTTACTAGTACTGTGGTCAGCCCTACCACTGCAGTTTTTGTGTAAACCAAGAGACTTGGAGTCTTGCTGTCAGTCTCTTCTCCATCTCTGTATACTGGAAACTCTGAACACAAGCTGCTCAAGTCAGAAGATCCTGTACTGAATTATGTCTCTTAAGGGGTAGCATATCTAAGACTTTGAAAAGTCACTGTAATTGTAAAATCCACAATTATCCCTAGGTTAGTACTCGTGCTTGTAGCACCCGTAAAGCCATCAAGGGGTTGGTAGTATTAAGTGTACAAAGGACAGAGTGCATGGAACTCTTCTTGAAGTGTGCCTTCTGTATCAGGGGTTGAGGCCTTGACTCTAATGCCGGTCACGTCACCAGCTTCATAACGGTTCACCTGACATCTGCCCAGCTTCCAGAGCCACTTTTTAAAAGCAGATTTGTCATTGTGATGTTTCTTCTTTGTCTTCTCAGACATTAACTTCTCTGGCCAAGCTGATGAAAGAATGCTGGTATCAGAATCCATCTGCAAGACTCACAGCACTGCGCATCAAAAAGACTTTGACCAAAATTGATAATTCCCTAGACAAATTGAAAACGGACTGTTGACGTTTTCGTGGTATTAAGAAGGAAGATTTCATGTTGTCGTTGTCCAGCTGGGACCTAATGCTGGTCTGACTGGTGTCAGAACAGAATCCGTCTGTCTCCCTCCCAAAATGGCTGCTTTGACAAGGCAGACATCATACCCAGCCACGTGCTGGGGAGACACCAAAACCACCCTAACCTCGCTCAATGACTGTGAACTGGGCATTTCACGAACTGTTCACTCTGCAGAGACTGATGGTGGACAGACACTGTTGCAAAGGTAGGGAACTGGAGGAACACAGAGAAATCCTGCAAGAGATCTGGGCATTAAGACAGTGGCTTTGCGTATCTTTCACAGGTCTCCTAGACACTCCCCAGGGAATCTCCAGGAGGTGGTGAATTTTTAATCAGCAATATTGCCTGTGCTTCTCTTCTTTATTGCACTAGGAATTCTTTGCATTCCTTACTTGCACTGTTACTCTTAATTTTAAAGACCCAACTTGCCAAAACGTTGGCTGCATACTCCACTGGTCTGTCTTTGGATAATAGGAATTCAATTTGGCAAAACAAAATGTAATGTCAGACTTCGCTGCATTTTACACATGTGCTGATGTTTACAACGATGCCGAACATTAGGAATTGTTTATACACAACTTTGCAAATTATTTATTACTTGTGCACTTAGCAGGTTTTACAAAACTGCTTCGTGCATATGTTAAAGCTTATTTTTATGTGGTCTTATGATTTTATTACTGAAATGTTTTTAACACTATACTCTGAAATGGACGTTTTCTTTTTATTATCAGTTAAGTTCACATTTAAGTGCTTCACATTTGTATGTGTGTAGACTGTCTGTAACTTTTTCAGTTCGTACGCAGAACGTATTTAGTCATTACCTACCCGACACCACCGAATATTTACTGATTTAGAAGCAAAGATTTCAGTAGAATTTTAGTCCTGAACGCTGTGGGGAAAATGCATTTTCTTCGGAACTATCAATTATGTGCATTTAAACTCTGCCAGAAAAAAATAACTATTTTGTTTTAATCTACTTTTTGTATTTAGTAGTTATTTGTATAAATTAAATAAACCGTTTTCAAGTCAAAAAGTGAAATTATTTTCAGTATCTATCAATAAGATCTATGCAATGTAATGTTTTGTTTTTATTTTTGTTTTGTGGGAACAGTAGATGCACATATCTAACTTGAAAATTTAACTTGCTTTTGAAGACAACTAATGAGCCTGAAGGTACCATGGGGACATCTTACAGCTTGAATGTGGTATCAGAAGTTTTGAGATTTGTTTTTGCTACTTTTGCCTGTATTTTTTCCTCTCTGTATTTCCAACTTTCAAGTAGTGTTACAAGCTGCCTGACCTGCAGCACACAGGGAAGTTGTGGGGCTAAGTGGGAGGAAGGAAGACTGTCGAAACACTGTGTTCACTGGAATGGTCAGGTGAGCGCGGAGTGCTCTGTGCATCTGAAAGGCGAACAGAAGAGTCTGTCCTTAAGCTTTCTGTGCATGAGAGGATTGAAAAGGTAGTGTAGGCCCGAAAAAGAAGGGGGTAAAATTGGAGCATATTCTGCAGAGGTCACTTATTAACTTGTTAACTTTATTAACATGCATTTACTTGAAGGGTATATGAAAGAATCAAATAATTTTTTTAAGTTAAACATTAAATTTTCAATTCATTGACATATGAAATGAAATTTGCCATCCCAGTGCAGGAAGTGTGTAGTCCTCAGCATTAAGCACGTTTTCTTTGTCATGCAGCTGTGCCTATCATCCGCCAACCAAACGCTTTGTGTCTGTTACATACCAAGCTGCCCTTTCCCCTTCCTGCCCCTGGAAAGCATCTTTCTGTTTTCTGCCTCTTGGGAGTACAATAAGTTCCTCACCTAAGCAGGATCACATAGTATTTGCCCTTTTTGTGAGACTGTCTCTATTAACTTAGCTTGATGACTTCACAGTTCTTCTGTGTTTATGTAGCAACGTGGATGTCCCTCTTCAGGCTGAGTCACATGCCGTATGTATATGTTCATGCTGTTGATCCATGTATTCGTCCATCGATGAACGTTTGAACTGAATCCACACCTGACTGCTGTGAAGAGTGTTGTCCTAATCGTGCCCGTGCAAACGGCTCCTTGCACTGGTGCTTTCAGTTCTTTGGGCAGATACTTAGAAGTAGAATGGAGTCATGTTTGACTCTTGTTGACCTGTTCCATATTTACATAAAGGCATACAACTTAATAAATGTAAGTTTCTTTAAATGCTAGATATTGAACATAGTGCTCTCTTACTGAGATGTATTCCTATTCTTTTACTTAGTTTCTTAAAACTTTGGGACATGGTCTCACTAACTTGCGCAGGCTGGCCTCAAACTTGCAGTCCTCCTGCCTCAGTAACTGGGATCACAGGTGTGTTTCACAGTGTGCAGCCAAACTGTTGGAACTTCTACACTCCTGCCTCTTAATGCCCAGTTTCCCTTAGTGTGGAACAGTTTGTAAGGGAACTCATACAGGACGTGCATGAGCAGACAGGGAATCACTGGCAGGTGGGGTATGGCCTGTATTCTGCTTTGGTAGACATTAGCAATCCATTTTTAAACAGGGTTGTGTGGTGTACCTTGCCATCAGCTGTGTATGAGAGTTCCGACCGTTCAACATTTTCAGTAGTACTCAATATTTTCTTTTCCCATTAGCTGTCCTGCTGAATGTTGTACACAAATTTCAGCAAAATAAAAAAGAGAGATTGTGAGTAAATGACAGATTATACAGCGCTTGTCCACTTTCTCAGTGGCTCCAGCACTTAAGGGAGAAGTCACAGAAATAAAGGCATCCCAGCTTTTGCATGCTGCCGCTGTGAGCCCAGCAGGCAGTGGTGCTTTGTCTTCCATGCAGCCTGGCCCTTGGACAGCCAACAGCGACTTCATCTGCTGCTTGCCTGTGGAGTGTGTTGCTCCAACTTTGGAAGATCTTCTGGCTTTGCAGACCAGAAGGTTATGTGTAGGCCTCCAATTTGTCGTACTTCTGAGCAGTTTTAACACCACCCAATTCACTGAAACCTCACTAACTGACTTGAAACTAACTTTCATTTGAAAGATTTCTGTATTGCAGATGGCTGGCCAGAGGCGAGAAGAAACATGCTGGCCCTTCCAGAAAAGCAGGCTTACGTGGTACCCAGCAAAAAAGTTGAGGCCCTAAGAGCGCTGCTGATGCATCAAGAGCAGGCCTTTGGATTCTAAGACCAAAGTCTCCGGCTGTACAGTTCTGAGGTGACTTCTTCTACCTGCATTTGTAAGGGCCGCATTCTCTGGCTACACAGAAGCCACTGAAAAGTCTGGGATGAGGACACAGTTGGGTTGGGAAATTTTTTGAAGCAAAACTCTTACTCTTTGTGGGAGGAGAAAGAGAGAGAAGGGAGAAAGGGAGAGAGAGAGATTCACTAATATAACTCACAACCACAGTCTCACAAACATTTTGGCTCACACTGTTGTGTTGAAGAGGCCCTTGCATTAGCCTCCCAGGTGCTGGGAATAAAGGCACGTACTCTTGCATGTGGCTATGCTCTTTTTTTTCTTTTTGTAGTACTGGGGATTGAATACAGAGACTTGTGTATGCTAGATAAGTGCTCGCCCACTGAAATAGAGTCCCAGACATTTTTTTTTTTAATTTTTATTTTAACTTTTGTTTTTTTTGAGACTGTCTCACTACATAGTTGGGATTGGTCTTGACCTCACTATGTAACCCAGGCTGGCCTTGAACTTGTGGTATCCTCCTGTCTTAGCTTCCTGAGTGCTGGGATTACAGGCATTCACCACTGTTCCTGGCTGGTCCAAGCCCCTTTTAAAAGATTTATTTTGAGATGGGCATCTTGCTAAATTGACCGGGCAGGCTTCGAGCTTGACATTTTCCTGCCCCAACCTCTCAAGTAGCTCAGGTTACAGCATTGTGCCATCACATCTGGCATTAGTTTTTTTCCCTTTTTCTTTTTGCAGAGCTGGGGATCAAACATAGGGCCCATGCTAGGCAAGTGCTCTACTCCTGAGCTACTTTCCTGCCCCACCCTAATTGCTTTCTAATGCATGAAGATGTTCTATTTCAAAAATTTGTAAGAGAACATAGGTGGGCTGTGGTAGGACCTCATCCACATAGTAGCAGATAGAAAAACTTTCCTCTTAGCTTGCAGCTCACCCTTTTATACACCAGTTTGTGAGGCTTGGGTTGACTCTACCAGCTTGCCTTGGCCATGGGGTGAGGGGCACTCGAGGGATCCAGCAGGGCAGAAAGAGAAGGAAGGGACTTGTTCCTACTGCCTGGCTGCCAGACTGTCAGCATTGTCCTGCTTCTCTTCTCTCCTCGGGAACAACAGTAACTTTGTGCAGCACAGTTTTGTTGTCCAGCGTGCAGTTGCTCTATTTCAGAAGTGGCTCCTAGATACTGGCACTGATGGGCCAAGTCCCCACCACAGCAGGCAGTGCTCAGCTGCAGGGGCCACCTCTGTTGCCGCCCAGCCGCGTAGCCCTGGGGGTACTCCCTTTTCAACTTTTGTTCAGTTTCACCGCTTCTCTTCTTTGCTTTCTTCAGCCTCAGTGCAGATAGCCCAGTTGCTTCTAGTCTAACTTTAATGTTGTCTCATTGGCTTTTTCCCAATTACTAATAGGCAGACCTAGTTAACTCTTCTCCATAATAATGAATAAATGACACATGTCCTGGCCTAATCTTTTTTTCTAGCATGTAAGCTTCTCCCCAAAAGAGCTGATCTTCCTGATCCTCCTCACCCCTGTCTCTAAATTAACAGTAATTTCCCTACATAAATTGGAAAGCCCTAAAGGACTCTCCATCATTAGGAGTGTGTGTCATGTCTGAGCCCCTCATTACACCCAAGCTTTCTTTCCAAAACTAGCTGTCATATTGTCAGGGACCTAGGAGACAGTATTTCAAAGCCTAATTAATTCACATAATTCAAGAGGTGACCTGCCAGGCCAGGACATGAACTCTATAGTTTCCTGCTGTACATTCATGCTGACAGTCCTCTCCAGTTGAATTCTTCCAAATAACTGTGTTCCTCACCTCATACCCATTTCTCAGTCTGAAAGTTGATGATGTCGCTAGAGCCACCCCAAAACTCTATTGTTTTGACATTCAGTGCATCCATGACTGACTTCTTTAACAAATACTGAGTGCCAGGTACTGAGAGGCTTCCTTCCTGTCTGCCGACACGCTGCAGACCGCTTGTGTTGCTTTTGTTGCAGCTATTTCTTTATCCTACTGAGTGTTCATTCCATCTACTGGGTGGCTTTTAATTTACAATAACTACAAACACTATTAGTTGTATTTATTGAACAGTCACTATGTGCTAGGTCATTTGTTCACTGCTGAATAGGTTCTTCTCATAGAAACACTATTGGACAGGTGCTATTATATTTGCTTGCGTTTAGAGCTAAGGCTCATGGGATATTGTGATGCTATCTACCCCAGAATCTGAAAGCAGTGGCATTGGGACTGGAATCAAACTTCATTCTGGCACCCAGAGTCTTTCTTATATGTACTGTGTGCTGTGCTTGTTAAAAGAAAATAAAAACTTTTTTTTTTTTTCGTTTTCTCTTTTGCATCAAAACAATGTTATTGCCTATCTTTTCAGGAGACTATGCATAGTAAAATGCAGTTCTTTGAGGAATGAAAGATTGGCTTCTTTTTTTTTTCCAGCAAACTCATTTTTTATCTTGTTTCAACATTATCAGAAATGAATGTTGAATACTAACATGCTAGATATGCACACAGTTGTTTAAAAAAAAAAAAACACCTAGAAAAAGCTTCTCAGTTAAACCAAAATATTTAAAGTGATTCTCTCTGTGTGATGTTGTACTGGGTTATTTTCTTTATATTTTCTGGATCGTCATCTTACTGTGCCGAGAATTTTTTTTTTTTGTATTTTAGGGAAGAGTCTACGTTGGGTTCAGGGTCTCGCTACTAGATTGGATTTATAGTGATCCACCTGTTTACAGCCTCCCAAGAGCTAGGATTACAGGCATGCGCCACCACACTCAGTCTCAATTGTTTTCTCAGCGAGCGTCAGGGTCGGGGCCGGCATGGCAGGCCCAGGGATC